CACAGGAACCAGCTTCATAGTACTACACACTTTTCTCCCTGACTCCTTATTAAGCTTCAAGCCCCCTTCATCATGGCAACTCCAGGCAAATGGGTCTTGCCCACTTCTCCCGAGGTGCCCTCCTCCCTGGGCACAAGCCCAACCTCCAGGAGGGCATGCTGGCAACCAAGCCAGGCTTCTGCCCAGCAACTTCACCTGCACAGTCAGCCTGTCACTCACTGCATCCCCTACCTCACCCAGTCCCTGATGGGAACAAATGCTCCCCACCCTAGCCTCTCAGTGACTCCTGTCCCCTGCCCCAAGTAGCCCCTGGCACAGATTATAACACAAATACCAACTACAGGCAGATATTGTTCTAAGTGTTATACACAAATTATCTGGTTGATCCTTAAAACAAACCTATGAGGCAGATAGTGTCATCACCCCCACTGTATAGACAGGGAAACCAAGGCACAGAGTGGTAATTGAGTTGCTTTAGACATGCAGCTACTAATGCAGTAAGTGATGTAACCAAGGTGCAAACCTCATAAGAACATTACATTAAATAATGAACACAGTGCCTGGGGCATGGAGAAGATTGCTAATGCCAAGATGATGGTAATGATGACATTGTCTCATGGCACATTGAACCGAAGAGCCTGCTTGTCTCCCTCCTGCTGAGTCTGCACCCTGAGTGACGGAGGAAAAACAGGGTACCCTGGGGTCTGCAGCAGCCCTTCGTCTGCTGGGGGACATGGACAGGGATTTTCTTTTTCACTGAGATAACATTCACATAACATAAAATTAACCATTTAAAGTGTATAATTCAGTAGTTATTAGTGCATCTGTGTGACCATCCCTCTATCTAGTTCCAAAACATTTTCATCATCACAAAATAAACCTGGGACCCATTAAGCAGTTGCTCTCCATTCCTGGCTCCCCCTAGCTTCTGGCAGCCATCAATCTGCTTTGGGTCTCTAGATGTACCTATTTAGGGTATTTTATATAGAGAGAATCATACTGTATTTGATCTAACTGTATTTAACTTCTTCCCTGAGCATAAAGTTTTCTAGGTTCATTTATGTCGTAGCATGCATCAATATGTCATATCCTTTATGACTGAATAATATTCTATGGTAATGGATATATACCACATCTGAGCTGAATGGGGATTTTAAAGGACAAACTCCAATTTTTGTCCCAATGGTAGTGCTGCTGTCACAAAGGTGGAAACCTAAGAGATCTCCTCCTGCTGTGGTCAAGAGAAATCTGAAGAAGAAACCCACTGCAGGAGAATTCCCTGGCTATAATCAGAGGCCCAAAACTCAAGTGTCCACATAGATGAGTGAAAAGGGTGGGGACACAGGGCGGGTCCCCGGGGAAGATCACGGCAACCTGCAGTGTCTAAAAACATTCAGATTCAAAAATGTTTAAAATCATCACTGTGCTGACCAAACAGAACCTTCAGGCTGGCCACTCTCAGTCACCATTGTACTTGTAATCCCCTGGGGATCCTAAAAGATGATGGCACCAGGTCCAGCTTTGGCATTTGAAACAAAGGCTTTGACAAACTAAATTTCAAGGTTCAGCAAAGATGTAGTAGGTTCCCCACCATTGAATCAAGCCCTGATGTCACAGGCGTGGGGTACGCTATGACCAGTCAGATGCACCCCTTTGGCCCTTCTTCGGTGAAGAGTGGCCCAACAGCCAGGTGAGGGGCCCTTCAGGAGACGGAGGTCTCTGTCTCTGAGTCAGCTGACAGAGAAATAGCCAGCACGTCACTTCTGTGACCTTCCAGTTGGTTTCACCTGCAGAGCCTGGAGTTATGAATGACAGTCTCAGAGGAAAAAACAGCACAGATTGTGGAACCCGGAGTCCAACAAGCAAAAAACAATGTTGCATTCTTACAGGATGTTGGAGTTCTACCTTGTATAATTTGTTTCTTTATCCCAAAGAAACCAATCTGGAATGTGGTCTGGTATTGAGCCCTCTGGTTTTTGTATTTAGAGTTATCAGATCATTTGGGGAACTGTTGAAGTACTGATTCCCAGGCTCCTCCTCCAGGAAGTTGGTGTCAGTGGCTCCTAGGGCCTGGGAATCTGCATTTTTTTATAAAAAATAAAACAGGTAGTTCATAATGCATACCTTAAAACTCAACCTGGAATCATACCTGTCAAATCAGAGTCTAAATTGTTCTACTTGTTCAAATCTTTGGGCTCAGCTTTAAGAATCCATATGGCCTAGGATAGAATCTTCTATTTCTTTTGTTTGTTCATTCATTCAATGGGTATTTATTGAGAATTTTCCATCTTTGCAGTTAAGATGGAAGTAAATACCTCTCGTAGAATTTGCGTTCTCATTGTGATTATTGGATAGAAGCAAATAATTATTTTCTTTATACAGAGAAGACTGTTAAGGTGGAAACAGAATTTTCGAGGATTGGGATGGTTGGTCAGAAGCTCTCAGCGTAACTGCTAAGCGATGAGTCTCCTCCACAATATCGCTGCCGAGTACTTAAACACTTCTAGGCCCAGGAAGCTCACTGTCAGATAAAAGAGACTGTTCAATTCTCAGATGTTAATTTCCCTTCCCTGGAACTTCTGCTCCTTAGTTCTTGTTCTACTTTATAAGATTTGCAAAGCAAATGAAAGCCTCTTCCCACAGAGAGCCATTAAAATATTCAAAGACACACTTTGCCATTCTGTTCAGTCTTCTCAGGGTGAAGACCCTGCTTTAGGACCTAATTTTGGGTGTCCTCCCTACTCTGTCCACCCATCCTCCTTTGGGTGACTCCTCACCTTGTATCTTTTTAAAAATACAAAGGTAGGACACGTCAGTCATCCATATGTTTCTTTTTTAAACATGCACCGACTAGGCACAGAAAGAAGTGAATAACCACCTTCTTCCCTCTGGATGTTGTTATCTTTGTTACTGCCAAGAGGTTGAGTTATTGGCCAAGGGCATAGACTCAGCAGATGATAATTTCATAGTCATCTTCATGGGGGAAAAAAACATTTTTTTCCTTCAGATATCTCAGTTTATAGCTAGCTACTAACAAATTATTTATTGACCCTCTTTTATTTACATGAAACACAGCCAACTCCTAAACTTATCTTTTCACTTCTAATTATATTTCCTCTCTTTCTAGCCTTCTCCCACATCATTTATTATATAAACACGCTTTCCCATATGCAGAGTGGTAATGGCCACTTGTGGCTGTTTTATTTCGGATCAAACATGTCAATGTCATGGAGCCAACAAGCAATAGAGACCACCTAGCCTGAGCTCCCCCACCCACTGGACACATCATTTCCTGCATGAGGACTTCTGCCCCCTTCACCCTTCCCATGTGTCTTTCACCTATTCCATTGATCCCTTCAGACCTTTGTGTCCACCTAGTCCATTTCCCACAGTGACCTATAACATGTGTTTCCTGCCAGAGCCACAGTTGTAAACAACTCCTGATAGACCCAGGAGCAACTCAGAGAGGAACCAGAAATGCTCTCTCCAGTAACTCCCAAGATCCCAGCCAACAGCTTGTTAGTGGACACACCCTGTGATTGCTGGCTCCAGCCCCTGAACCAGAGTCCCTCTACTGGGCTCTGAGAGTACTGCATTCACTGTAGAAGGATTGAACTACTGAGCAATTAAGAGCCCCAAAGAGTAGCAGCACACAAGAACGGAAAATTCCTTCTGCGCAAAAGACAAAACTGGTCCTAGAAGATGAAAATAAGCTCCAAGTTCTTCTAAGTCCCACCTCATTGTTATTCATATGAAGAAACTAGGACCTAGAGAAAGGATGTGTTAGTGGATGAGCAGAGATAGGAACCCAGGGCTCTATGCTTACAGCCCATCCTCTCTCTTTTTTTGGGGGGATCTGATTTTATGATCTTACAGCACCCTCCTCTCCCTGGCCAGTATTCTGGTCCCAGGGGCTCCAGGCAACAAACCATAATGGAAAGAATATCCTAGAAACAAAGTCAGACAAACACATGCCATCTGGGTGCTCAGGAATCCAGCCATTTGCTGGTTCCTTTCCTTTTAGGGCTGGTTACAAGAGGAATGGCTCCAGAGGGATAATATGTTCCTATTTTTCCTTCTAATCCAGGACACCTGTCCCTTCTCTGGGGCATGTGTAATATTTGGGGCTTCATCTCAACATGTGACCAGCCACCTGTTGTTCATGCCTTTCCAAATTGGCTTCTCGAGTTTGGGGCTGGCCAACTAGACCCCCACCCACGATAAAATGTGGTTTCACACAACACAAATATACTGGATTTGAAGAGTCTGCAGCCTCTGAGGAATTAGCTGGTCAAGACAATGCTCTTAAGCAGAAAAAACCATGACACCTCCTCCCCTTAAACATGATAGCTCTGATAAGTTTTAAGTCTGTCCTAAGTCTTTGAAGAGAAGGAAGACTGGAGTTCACCGCAGTCTGTCATTTTCTTTCATCCCCCACTGCCATTCATTCATTCGACAAATATTTATTGACCACCTGCTCTGTGTCACTCATTGCCAATCATCCACTCATCTATTCACCCCACCAACGTGTATGGACCTCCGCTAAGAACCAAGTCCTGTGCTGAGTGCTGTGGGAGATGTAGCAATGAATAAAGCTCAGGTCTTCCCCAGAAGGAGATCTTAATTAGTTGGGTTGGGAAATTTCAAGCTACTGTGACTTAAGGCTCTTTGTGTGAAGAGAGATTCAAAGAACTATGGAACAACAAGGAGAGAGAAGTCACCCCCAGTTGGCAGGTAAGAAAGTTTGCAAGAGGATGCCATGCAAGACCTGAACCTTGAGGAATGGTTAGGATTTGGATACACAGAAAACACATGTGGGCAGTCAAGTTGTCGTACAATGGCGAGGTGCCAGGAGGGAGCTAAGAGAGCAGAGGGGGTCCTCCCAGTGATGTGCAGGGCGCATGTGCTGCTGGAAGAGTAAGTCGAGTGGGGGTGGGGACTGATTCAGAAAATGGTGGGTTTGAAAAGTCTGAGCCTTTGCTATTTTCTTGGCCCCTTAGGTTCTGAGGTTTGGCACCCCATCTGCAAGCAGGCAGCCCGGGCAGAGAAGAAGTTAAAGGTAAGCACATTAGTCATGATGCGAGAACAGCAGTCCTATACAGAGACCTTTAACCTGTGAATGTGGGTTCCTGATACTATAGGGAGTGGGTGGAGCAACCCAGGCTGCACAGAGAGATGAGCTCCCAGGCTCCTGGGTTCTTGAAGCTGTGGAGGGGATACCTGGGGTGTGTGTAGGGGATAGGGAGCACACTTGCCCTCCAGTGTACCTTTATACCATGACACCTGACAATCATATTACCTGCTGGAGTCTCCTTAACTAAAAACACACCTGTGCAATTCTGCCCAACTAATTACACGTGTCTCCTTTGCCATTTCATCCACTTACTATAAATTTTGTGGAAGAACTGGCTTTATTGATGTGTGATTTCTTTTGAGCCATACATGAATTTTTTTTCCTGTTTCTTCCAAGATCTCTTTTATTTAAGGTGTTAGAAGATATAATTGTTCTTTTCTTCCTTAATCTCTCCCTCTTTGAGGGCATTTCCCAAATTTGAGTGATTTTTTTTTTTGTAGTTGTAGATGGATAGAATGCCTTTATTTTATTTGTTTATTTTTATGCGGTGCTAAGGATTGAACTCAGGGCCTTGCATGTGCTAGGCAAGCGCTCTGCCACTGAGCTACAGCCCCTAAGTCTTTAAAAAAAAAAATACCTTTATGTAAATCAAACCCACTGCCTCACACATGCTAGGAGAGTGCTGTACTGCTGAGCCACAACCCTACCCCTTGAGTCATTCTTTAAAACCCTGAGGCTTGCTGGGCACAGTGGCATATGCCTGTAATCCCAGTGGCTCAGGAGGTTGAGGTAGGAAGATCATGAGTTCAAAGCCAGCCTCAGAATTTAGCGAGGCCCTAAGCAACTTAGTGAGACCCTGTCTCAAAACAAAACATAAAAAGGGCTGGGGATGTTACTCAATGGTTAAGTGTCCCTGGTACAAAAAAAAAAAAAAACCGGCAGCTTTCTGCTGTATATATGCACTACCTCTTTGTACCCTTATAAGCTTAATATTTTTCTTGAAATCAACTCATTACTTTTTATTTAACTAAAATTATTTTAAAATAAACTTTATATTGCCAAGTGGAAATTAATAATACTTGCTATAAATAAAAAGCAGTCATAAAATAAAATAATTCTTGAGATTAAATCTTAAAACTTCTAGTTAATGTTTCCTGTACTCTCTTTGGTCAGGAAGAAAATAAAGGGAAATTAGCCATTGTTGAGACAGTTGTAAATATGTATTAGCACCAAATTGAGATTCCTCTTTGATCAAATCAGGAGGATTGAAATAAAACATTACATTACACTCACTCTGTGACTCAGTGTTATCAAACGTTCCACCTACACTCATTTTCCAGAACCATCCCTTGTTCACAATCCATATTTTGGAAAACACTGCTCCGTAGCCCCACTCAGAATGCTTTAAATTTCAGGATGAGAGGTCTGGGAGGGAACTGAGAAATCTTGAAGCTCAGCCCCTTCATTTTACACATCAGGAATCCAAGATCTCTAAAACACATGCTTCACCAGTGGTCCTTGATTCTCAAGCCATTGACTTTGCCACCACAGCACGCTGCCACTCTTGTGGAAGCACTAAGATTGACATCACGCTGTTCTGCTGAGGGAGCTATTAATCCACCATTGTCATTGTTCACAGACAGATTTTTTTAACTTTTTCACTTAAGTTGATATCAATTTGCAGAGGGTACATGATAAAGAATCAGCATATTGTGCAATTACATGATATGAATAAACAAACTACTGAGGAATGAATACTACGCAATTTTACTCAAAGTAAAGACATTTTTTGACTGGGATAATCCAACATGAAAAGTCTTATGAGTAATATGCTATTTAAAATGCTAGCTACAGGGGGCTAGAGTTGTAGCTCAGCAGTAGAGCACTTGTCTCGTATGTGTGAGGCACCAGGTTCATTTCCCAGCACCACATATAAATAAGCAAATAAAATAAAGGTCCATCAACAATAAAAAAAATAAAATAAAAAATATGCTAGCTACAAATATATAGAAAATAAAATTTTATTCTATCCAACAGCCTGAAACCCTATGCATGTTAGATCTCAGTCACACTTAGACATTGATTTAAAAGGCAGAAAATTTAAAAAGTACAAAAGTATCTAAAAAATACTTATTGCTGCTAATGTGCCCAGTCTCCCCTTGCCATCAAACCCAGGGTGCAGCTTCTCACCTGTTCTGCTTTCCTCTCTCCACAGCATAGACGGACATCTGAAACCTCCATCTCACCCCCTGGATCCAGTATTGGGTCACCCAACCGAGTCATCTGCGTATGTATTACTTTTCAGCCCTTTCCTACCCCTGGCCTGGCAGCTAAAGTTTCTAAGGATGAAGGAACCCTCAGGTTTTCAGCCAACTGATATTTGGTGTGTGCCTGTTCCATGTCAGGCCCTGAGGATGCAGTGAGTCCAGAGAGGACGTGGACCATGCCCTCAAGCACACAGTCTGGTAAAACAAGAGTCACAGAGATAGCGCAGAACACCACGGAGCACAAGAAACCAAGTGCAGTGATAGTGAGCCTTTGTAGGGTTCTGAAGCCAGTGTGAGGTCCCTCCTAACCCGTTCCTTAAGCAAGACAAGGGTAAGGTCAGCATAGGACCAGAGAGGCATTCATAGTGGGGCTCAAGTGGAAATTTGATGTTGGGGGAGGAGCGTGTACTGATGAGGAAGGAAGGGGAAGGAAGTCATATGATGTGGAAACCGCTATCCAGGATTTGGAAACATGTAGAACAGTTTTCTAATCGGGTGAGAAGTCCAGGGATGAAGAAGATCACCTGCAGGTATCTGAGCTGCCTTTTCCAGAGTCATTCAAGCACAGACAAACTCATCTGCCAGGGATGTGGCAGAAGGAACAGAGTTAGAGGACCTCAGAGGTCCCTTGTATATGTAATTAATTCATTCATTCAACAAACATGTGCTGAGATCTACTCTGTTAATAAGCTCTGAGCTCCATGCTGGAGAAAGTGGTGAACAACACACACCTGATGCCTATCCTCATAACATTAGACACAGAATGCCAGGAATCATCAGTTGCAGTTATGATAAGTGCCAGAAAGAGAAAGCACAGGGTTCCCTTGATGCTCCAGTTGAGTAGAGGAACCTGAAGGTCCAGGACCAGCTGGGGAAAGGCTTCCTGAAGGAAAACTGTTTAAGCTCAAATGTTTTAAGTCCAAACTAGAAGTCAGTCCAAGGAGGTGAGCGTGGCAGAGCCCAGGGGAACTGAAATGAGCAGCAGACAACATTCTGGTTAACTCCCGCATTGTACCAGCCTTCCACAAGTCGAAGGAGCCAGAAGGAATGTGGGGAGGGTGGGGTTGTCAAGGGCAGGGGACCCACTCCCAGGGAGAAGCTCTAGATGCAGCCCCCCAATCTACTAGTTTTGGTTGGGTCCTGACACCATGATGAGGTCATTACTCTAAATCCATATCCAATTTCCTCTTTGATCCCAGGATAATGCCCATTGATGAAACTATTTCCTTTCCTTTCTTCCTCTGGTCAAATGAAAAAAAAAAGAAGAAGAAGAAAGAGACATAGGAGTCATTGACTTCAGTGTCAATATGAGTCAATACCACCATGTGGCTGACACAGAAGACAAGCCACTCTCTTTTTTTGTGGTGTTGGGGATCAAACCTAAAGCCTCACACATGCGAGGAAAGTGCTCTATCACTGAGCTGCACCCCCAATCCAAGACAGGCTACTTTGATCACAGACTTTACTCATTGAAGATTCTTGTCCAGCACAAGAAACAAGATAATCCCCAGACTATTTTCTGTGCTATGAATGGGACCAGTCAATAGCAGAATTGGTGGGCAGTTTTGGTCCTTCATTAACAAGTGTGAGCCTGTCTCCAGGAAGTGAGGGTTCAGGAATCTGCAGCACTAGAACGCCATTACTCACCAACTGTTACCCAGGAGTCTCATTAACCCTGGTGAAATAAGTTGATCCCTGTTGTTCACCTTGGTTTTCTGGAGAAAGCCTGCTAGAATCGCCCCCATAATAAGCAGCTTCCTTATGATCAATGACAACTAGGACCCTGCTCTCCTGCCTTCCAGCTGGAGGCTTATTGCTGAGATCAGTTGCCCCTCACATCCGAGTCGTACCTTCTGTGTGCTCCTTTCACCTCACATGGTGCCTCACATCCAGACGCTCTGTCATGTGCATTTCATATCAGCCATGTTGAACTCAGACCTTTCTAAACATGGCAAAGCATCTATCAGCCCACATTAGGGATATGCAGTAACACATAGAAAGATGGTCTGTTGGTTTAACTTTCAGAGATAATTGATATTTTGATATTAAAATAGAATTACCAGTGAACCTGGAATGGGCAAGTTCTTTCAAACTTTCAAATTTTGTTCCACTCCCCACCGGCTTCTAGAACCATCCTGGGGTAGCTTGATTTCAGCCAGCCCCACATATTCTCTTCCTTCCTGGCTAATTATGTTAGGATGCCTCTAATCAATCACTGTGCCTCCAGACCTAAGGTTCATTTATAGCACTGTAAATAAAGCAGCTATAGGAAGAAATATAAATTTAGTAATTTTGAGGTTTGGAGTAAAGTGCCAAAATGACTAACTATTCATCAAGATGAGTTTGTAAATTGACAAGAGCTCTCAAGGTCAGGACTTAATATCCCAGGACCAAAGGCATCTTCAGCAAATAGACTCCTCTAAGCAGCTTCCCCTTGCCCACACCCCCAAAAATTGATGGACATGTGGGTGTCTGCACCATCTCTAGCAAAAATCAGATGGCACAACTCAGAAGAATTCAGCTGAGCAGAGTTTCATGGAATTGGATAAAAGGACCCACAAGAAATAGGGAAGCATCCAAGGACAGCAACAGTGGGATATTGTTGCCACCCCAGGAACAAGGACACGAGGGAAAGGAACAGCATTAGCAGAGTTGGCAGGAGGTAGAGCTGTGAAGAAGAGCCATCAGACAGAAGTCATGCTCAACCCACATCCAGGCAGGAAAGTTGCAAGGGGAGTTCGTAGGCCAGTCTCTCCCTCTACTCACGATCCAGGCTGCTGGTTCCTCCCATTGCCAAACCTCCTGAGCAGGAGAGGCTGTGGTGCAGATGGGCTTAGGACACACAGGCAAGAAGAGTGGCTACAGAGTTTAGGGACAATGCGAGGAACATGGTGCCCAGATAATAGTAGGATGGGCCAAGGATAAAATAAACAGAGAAAGGGCCTTGAGAAGCTTTTAAAATAGCAAAGTTTGTAAGATAATTAGAAAGCTGCTACTCTCTAGAGTAATCATAGTCCTGAGACTCTGTCTGGCTCGTCTGGCACCTCCAAGTATTAGACAGAACATTACAAGGATATTACATTCTCCTTAGATTCTCTATCTAGTAGCCCCCTCTTAATTTACCTCACCCCAGCACATTCCAAACCATAGTAGTTACCAGAAAGACAGATCCTAGTTGACCAGAGCAGAAACCAGGTCATAAGAGGAAACAGCTACGTAGACTGGTTCAGGACATGGTTTCAGGAGCCATGAGAAATGGGTTGTCACATGCAAGCAGACACTGTCTTCCAATCCATGTGGCCCTATAGAGTTCTGAACTCTGGAAAAGTTAAGTACAAGTTCCCTGTAAGGAGCTGCTTTCTGGGTGCAGCCCTCTATAGTGAACTCCCTGTCCTGGGAGGTCACATGGAATGGCAGGCTCTCAGGTGAGACGACCTGGGTTCAAATGCTGGATTTTGCCACTTATTGGCTGTGTGGAGTTGGCAAGTTCATTGATTTCTCTGCACCTCTGTTTCCTTATTCAAAATGAGGATAACATAAGTCTACTGTTGTGAGTTGTATGAATTAACTGAGTTAATCTGCATAAGAAACTTAGAGCCTGGCTCATAATAAGTGCTTGCCAATTGCTAGCCAGTGTTTCAATGTCATGATTACTTTAGTGTTTACCATCTTCCTTCTTGTGGAGGCTGGGAATGGGGATGTCCCCACAGCGTGGGGTTAGAAGGCAGTCACCCAGGTTGTGTATCAGACTGAATTCAAAGCTACTAGCTAATTGGTGTAATTTATGGAATTTTTCTAGCCCAGAAAATAGGAACAACTTTGACACTTGCTCCACAGAGGTTTATAACATTTAGAGGAAATAATCCCTGTAAAGCACGGGGCCTCTCAAACAATATGTGCTCAATAAATGTTAGCCCTGTTGGAATGGATGGCCTCTAAGACCTTTCTTATTCCAGCATTTTACAGCTCTTTGATTAGATCCTAATATTTGGCTTTTAGTGAAAACTAGTGGAACTTGTCCTTCCTTTACCTCGTTTTTGTTTCCTCTTTTCTTTCACTTTTCCCTCTTATCTTTCTACTCCTTTCCTGTTCATTTCCCTCTTCCCCAGGCTAAAGTGGATAATGAGATCCTTAATTACAAAGACCTGGCAGCTCTCCCCAAGGTTAAGTCCATCTACGAGGTACAACGCCCCGACCTCATTTCCTACGAGCCTCATTCCAGATACACGTCTGACGAGATGCTGGAGAGATGTGGCTATGGCGAGGTATTGCATGCAGCCCTTCTCTCTGGGGCTGTTGAAGGAACCGCGATCCCATTTCATCACAGACAAGTTGATCTCCAGTGTAGACTCTTCAAAACTGGAATTTATAGCTCACATTTAAAAATCAAGAGATTTCACCCACATATATGGCTTTCTGATTATTCTTGGGAAATCAGACATTAAATTTAGGATTTTCACCATCTGGAGATAGGTAGCAGCGCCCCCTATGGACAGGACATGGACTCCCCATTCTTCCCAGTCCTCACCCCTCCCTGTAAAACCCAACATGGAAGCTGAGAGCTTGTGACCACTTATCACTTGAGCTTTTGTTTTCTTATACTGGAGAAATTTTGCTTTTGCTCAGCCCATGACTCTCCTCCCCTGCCAGTGGCCAGGGGAGGCCAGGCTTAATGGTCACTGAAGTTCATATTCTTCGGTTAGGTATGTTCTCTTGTTTTTGCACTTGACATGTAGCCCCTGTGCTCAAAGCAAGAGAACACTTAATAAGACTCAGCATTGGATGGCTTTAGAAATCATTACATGGTTGCTAGATGAGAAAAAGTTCTCTGGGGAAGGCAGGGTGATCATCACATAGAAGGCGCTGACCATCTATACCCCAGGAGATTTCTGACCCCATCCCAGGCCTCCTGAACTACAATGGGCAAAAGGAGCACTGGCCTGATGGACAGGTTCCCAAATTCCTGACCCAGCTCCACCACCAACTAGCTAATGTCCTCAGGCAATCCACCTCTCAAAAAGGGACTGGGGTTCCATTTGGTTAAAGAGCCTAATGCTAAGGTTCTCTGTATTCTGGACCCTGAAATGCACCAGGAAAAAGGAACTCAGTGTTTGTATAAGTTGATTCTCCTGAAGTTAGACAAGGCCAACCAGAGCCCATGGGCTACAGCCAGCCCCCAGATGTTTTGAGTCACTCATAGAGTATCTTTCAAAAATGTAAATTAGTTGTCAACATGTAAATGTTGGGAGATTTCACATAAGAAACTGCATTTCTGAGTTTTCTTGGAAATTAAGAAGCTGGTTAACATTGGGCAGGCATCCAGCATGACCCTGACCTGCTAGAGCTGAGAGCACTTCCCTGATCAATCCACCCACCCGCCCAGCTCTCTTACTGATGACCACAGCCTGGCTCTTGCTCAGTCTTACTTTTGGATCCCCTTCCCTGGACATGGTCTTCACAAACACAAAGGGGCCATAAGCCAGGAGGGAGACAAGAAAGGGTCATGAAAATAAGCTCTGAGTCTGCAGCAGAGGAAGCTAGGTCTAAGTCAGAACCAGCCTCTTCCTTCCCAGGGGGTCCTGGGTGGCCCTGAGCTCCCCTCATTCCTCCCTAGGCCTTTATTTTCCCATGTTTAAAAGGGGTGGTCATGATCACAAGGTTTCCTTACCTCCTAGAGAGTGGTGCCAAGGGGCAGCTGCAGGCCCTCTCTTTGCCGAACCATTTAACGATACTCTGTCCCTTCCTCTTGCCCTCCTTTCTTTCCCTTCCTTCGTCCATGGCTGCCTTCAACCTCTCCACTTCTAAGTCGTTGGGAACATTATCTCCCTACTCCCAGGTAATTAAACTGACATGCAAAAGGTCAGGAAAACCTTTTATGTATTTGCGTCCTTTAAGCTGTCCAAAATGGGCCCTGACTTCACCCCTCACCAGGTCCCCACGGGGCCTGATCCCTCACCCAAGGTGCTCCCCCAGCCAGGGCAGGGCATAATGATGGGAAAGGTTGGCAGAGAAATTATATGCTCCCAGAGATGACCTCCCTCGAGTCTCTGTGATCCCTGGGACTGACTCATGTTTCTGTCTAGACTTTGGAGTGATGCATGACTCTCCACTGCCCTCCTCAGGCTGAGTGTGTGGCTCCGACGGGGTGTCTCCCTATTTGTGTCTGAACCACAAGAATCCCAGAGTCTGTGGCATGCCCCACCTGCCTGCTGGACTCTTGGACCACAAGCCTTGCTCACAAACCATCTCCTTCCCCAGGACATCTATGAGAACCTGGACCTCCGGCAGAGACGGGCCTCCAGCCCGGGATACATCGACTCCCCGACTTACAGCCGGCAGGGCATGTCTCCCACCTTCTCCCGCTCGCCTCACCACTACTACCGCTCAGGTAAGATGGTGGGGCGTCCCCAAAGAGAGAGGAAGAGCAAGGCTTCAGAGACAGCTCAGGCTTCCCCAAGATTTCCCTGATAGCACACCCTCTGGAAGCCTCTGGACACTCAGGTGGCCAACGAGGCCTGACTGAGTTCCTGAGCTGCTCCTGGCAAGGAGAAAGATGGGGTATGTGACACTGAGAAGCAGCAGGAGGTGGGTGAGGAGCTGCCAGGACTAGGGAGTGGCAGGAAGCCCAGGGCCCTTGCTGGATGGAACAGGCCTCCTCCAACCTCACCATTTGGCCTGCCCCATTACCATCCATGGGGCAGATCCAGACTAGAAATAGGGCTCACCAAGGGCCCAGTCCCACCCAGCCCCCAGCCAGTCAGGGTGTCTACAGTCAACCCAGGGCTAGGGGTACAGCTGGTGTCTGGATAAAAGACAGGGGCAGGTAAGGGAGGGGCCCAGGGAGGACGGGTTGGGGGTGCTAAGCAAAGAAGACACCTTACTGATGCTCAGTAGAGTTGATTCTTACAACCCACAAAACCTGACTTTGGGGTCAAGCAAGGAAACAGGTCGAGCTCGTTCCTGCAGATGCGGTGCATGAGAGCTCATGCTTCTTCCACTCCGGAGCTGAGCACGCCGGGTCGCCCAGGCCACCCCATTCCCGCTGCCATCACCTCACCGCTTCCTAAACTGCCACTGCGCTAATGCCTGTTTTCTCTGTGCCTCTGTTCTCTCTGGGGACCACTGCCTGCGTGCTCCAGGGCCCGAGAGTGGCCGGAGCTCTCCATACCATAGCCAGTTAGATGTGAGGTCCTCCACTCCGACCTCTTACCAGGCTCCCAAGCACTTTCACATCCCAGGTAGGCACTGCCAGCCTGGCATTCCCAGCATGGGTGCATGCTCTGTGGGGTCATGGGGCACCTGAGCTGTCCACTCACTGTTCAGGTATGGAGGAGAAGCCAGTTCCTGGGGGACCCTCCCTAACCAGTCACCCATGCTAACCCACCCTCCAGCCCCAATATGCCCATGGATTTGTCTCCTACTTGACAGAACCAACCTTGATCAGGACCACAAGTGAGCATCCCAGGGAAGAAAAGTCTCAGGGAGCTAGTGTGAAATGCCTGTGTTTTGGGGAGCCTGAGGGGGCGCAGCAGTAACATAGAGGTAAAGGCTGCTTCCATCCAAGCTCTTGGGACTGAATCCCAATCCTGCTGCTTGTAAGCTGGTGACCCAGGGCCAGCAACTTAGCTTCCCTGCACCTCTGCTGTTCTGCCTGTGCAGCAAGGCACTGTTTGGACCCTGAGGTTGCAATTGTGCTTCTGGCCCCCAGCCTCGACCCTCCCTTCATGGAATGCATATTCTAATGTGGGGACAGAGACCATAAAAGAATAAATAAATAAGTAAAAGGATGATTTCAGGTGATGATAGATGCTATGAACATTTAAAAAAAAAGAAACCAGGGCATCATGAGCCTGGAGTAGAGGAGGCTAGGCGAGATGGGGTGATCAGAAAGGGCTTCTTGGAAGAGGTGACATTAAAGCTGAAAGATGAGAAGGAGAAGCCCTATGAAGATTCCCAGGGAAGCATCCCAGGCAGCCAGAAAGGCACATATAAAGCCATTCTGCCTGAAGGTGGCCATAAGGTAAGAGGAAGGCCACTGGGTGTGGACTTGGAGGACAAGATCTCCCCGAGGGACAGCAGAGCCAGGTCTAGATCCCGCCTCCCAACTCAGCTCAGTTTCTCACTTGCCACTCACTTTCCCCACAAGAATTCATCTTGCCGGTTTATCTACCTACACCTTTCTCAACTGCCCCAGAGCGGTCCCATCCTGTCTGGTTTTGAGGAAGGGGCAGAAAGATAATGCTGAAATTTGGCTGACGCATCCTAGAGACTTTTACATGGATTGAGGTGTGACCACTGGGAGGAGCAGTGGACACTCCTTGCATGAGGATCTGCTGAGCACGCACTCCGCCCTGCATGCCCACCATTCAGCCCCACGTCCCTTCTTTGGCACCATTTGTATCCATCCATCTCTCTCCCCCCACCTTACTTGGTACCTGTTGGGGTGAGGTTGAAAGTTCAACTGTGGAAGAGGAAGTCTACTGGGGAAAGATGGTGGCCCCTTGGAAAAGGTTGCTGACAGTCTCTGTCTTCTGAGATCAACTGACCAAGTGCTGTCTCCTCCCCTGTCTCTTTCTCTCTCCTCCCCCTGTCCCTTCCTGGTCTGTCTGGCAGCTGGAGAAAGTAACATCTACCGGAAACCCCCGATCTACAAACGGCATGGTATGGTCAGAGGCAGACAGGGCTTGGCCAGACAAGGAGAGGGAGGAGGTTAACCCTCTGTGCAGTTGCTCTGCACGGGCCACCAGGAGCAACAGGATGCAAGGACACAGCTTGGTCCTTCTTCTTGCTAACCCCAAATCACTCAGGGTGACATTGTAAAGGAGTTTTGTGTCATTCAAAAGAGAAAGGAAGGCCTCATGTCCCCTAAATTCTTTCCCACCACCTCTCCAACCCCCTTTACCTGCTGTCTGGTGTTTTAAGTCCCATGATCAGGGTAATTCTTATAAAATGCATGTGCCCCTGGAAGAGTTATACTCCAAGGCATTGATATTAAAAATGTTTACTAGAGTCACATGAGATTCATACAGATTCTTCAACACCTCCCTAGACTTACTGAATTGAAATTTTGTAATTATAGCAATTTATTTGGTGATTCTGTTGCTTAGTCCTGCTTGGGAACAACTGTTCTAAGATGTCTCAGTCATCCTGAAATCAGATGAAGACCCTAAAAGGGCACATAGATGAGAAAAGAGTAGAGAATCCTTTCCTTCTTTCATTCATTCATTCCTTTACTGTTTATTAAAGAATGGCCTATGGACCATTTGCTCCTTTGAGACTTATTAAATAATGGCCGATTCCCTAGCCCCTTCTATGACAGATTCCCTAATTAGAAATACTAAGGATGCCCAAGAAATGCACTAAATTGGGTTCATCCATGATTCCTGCCTATGCTTGGTATGAGAACCACCAAGTCATTCACCATAGAAACCTCCTGTTCATTTTGCAAAAGCCTTTATTGACCTCAGCTGAATAAGCATATCCCTCCCTTTGCCAATGTGGAAGAGCAGCTGCCACCCTAGGTACCCTTTCCTGCTGTGGGTCTAGCCTGTAACAGAGGGAGCACAGACTTGGACAAGCTTGAAGGTATGTGGAGCAGTCCTGTACCAGATTCTGAACTAACCACCTGGTGGAGGGGTCAGGACAAGTATAAATAGTGGCTCTGGGTGCTAAAGACCCTGCAATTTCTACAAACATCCTCAGTTTCAGTGGGGGCCATAGCACCCCCATAGCGATTCTGGAAGCATGTACATGTGTACATGTGACTGTGAAGGACATGCTATGTGCCCCCAAGCGGCCACAGGAAGGCACCAGCCCCAACAAAGGTGACTTGGCTTTATATGCAAAAAAGCCTACAGGTCCCAAGCTTCTCAGACTTGGTAGGATTTTCCAGGTTGGCTCTGAGCGGTAACAGAGGCACAGACCTAGGAAAACTCCAGGGTAGAGGTGGCTGCATAGGGACAGGGTGGTGAAATAACAAAATGTGGTTGCCAGGAGGGACTTCCCAGGACCCAAGTCAAAGGAGAATTCCAAAGCTCCTTAGCATGCACTCCTGGAGAAAGGTGCACAAGATGAGCTTGCTGGAGGTCAGCCTGTCCCAGGACCTTTGCTGCTCTGGCTCCACAGAACACAGAGCTTGTCCCAAAAGCTTCCCTATAGGTCTCCCTGAGAAACAGTTGTGTAATCACACTAGTTTCCCCAATCCCTCTTTCTCTCTGCCTTGTCAACAAATCATCAGTCTTTGGACCACCGTAATGTCACTGCCATGTAAGCATTCATGCACAGTGGGTTTTTTGGGTCACTCCTATTGTGGGTTCACTTCCAAAGGAAACTTGGAGCTTCTGAGTCAATGCACCAATTTCAACAATTAAAGATGAGGAAACTGAGGCAGAGATGGGTAGGATTTTCCCAGTGTCATGTTGTACCTGAACTAAGTGGCAAGAGTTAGGACCAGAACCCAACTTTGCTGAGCCGCTGTCTTGTGCTCCGTCCTTTGGGCCCTGTAGCCTCCTTAAGCAGGATGATAGGCAGGGTGCCATGGTGCATGCCTGTAATCCCAGGGACTCAAGAGGCTGAGACAGGAGGATCACAAGTTCAAAACCAGTTTCAGCAATGGTGAGGCACTAAGCAACTCAATGAGACCCTGTCTCTAAATAAAACACAAAATAGGGTTGGGGATGTGGCTTAAGGGTTGAGCGCTCCTGAGTTCAATCCTTGGTACCAAAAAAAAAAAAAAAAAAGAACAGGATGATGGTAGAAGGCTGCCCACACTACAAATACCACAGCCCTGCCTGTGATTCCTGTCTAGATGTAGCTCACATCCATAAGAAAGCAGACTCCTGAGGGGCCAGAAAGGAAATGGCTGGACTCCTCTGGAGCCTGTTGAGTTTTACTCTTCACTAAAGAGCAGACCTGGGAGTTCACAAATTGTGCTGCAAGGAGCCTGGATCTGGCCCAGATCTGGTTCAAACTTTCTGTGTGGTCTTAAGCAAGCCCCTTCCCTCTCAAGTGTTTAGATTCCCAAACATAAAAGGAGAGGTTGGACCAGAGCTTTTCTATCTCCAATGCTCCACGTCCCAGACCCTCCTATCTCTGACTTCAAAGTAGCCTCAATCCCATGTGCTAATGCCTGGCAGAGACAGGGAAAGGGTACAGATTCCCAGCCAGGACACTGACTTCAGCTCCTCTTGGGTCATTTGCAGGTGATTTGTCTACAGCAACCAAGAGCAAAACAAGTGAAGACATCAGCCAGGCTTCCAAGTACAGCCCAGCCTACTCGCCAGACCCCTACTATGCTGCAGAGTCTGAGTACTGGACCTACCATGGGTCCCCCAAAGGTAGCACCCCCATGGGACCCTGAAGCCAGAGCCCATCACCTGTGCTAGGGACTTAAGAGGTCAGAACAATCACCCACTTCTTCACACCACCAACGCGAATAAGAATGAAGGGCCAGCCATAGGCCCTAGGGATACACTGGGGAGCAAAACAGACCTGCCCTTGTGGAGGAGACATAGATCCCAAACATGAGGTAGGAGAGCTGATGGTAGGGGCGAGCTGTCCAGCCAGATGCAGAGGTTGCCACACTAAGGGTGACCAGGGGGCAGGTCAGCAGGGAGTGCAGATTGTCTGACATCTGCCCACACCTGAGAGGGGAGGACCAGTTCTACTGGAGGAAAGGAAAGGCTACCCTGTTAACCTTAACCTTGGAAAGGGACCAGAGCAAGTGGGGAATGAGGGAAGATGTTCCACAGGTCTTGTGAGTTGAGAAAAGGATGTGGGTTATCATCCTAGTTAGAAGCTAGTTAGAAGCTATTCAAAACAGTGACATGATCACAGTCATGCTTTTGAGAGATCACTTTGGCTGTAGGGTGAAAAATGGTGGGAATGGAAAAAGAAAAGATATAGAAAGATAAAAGGCTCTCATGGGCACCCTGGTCCTTGGGTCACCTCCTCACCGAATCAGAGATCCCGAGTTATTCCTTTCAAGTATGGGGAGAAATTGTCTTCAAGTACTGATCTATGTCGCTTAGATTCAACACCTGGCTTTACTAATTAAATGCCCATTCTGTGCAAGGCTTCATGGATGCTCAGAAGTGAGTCTTTCATTACCCTCAGAGAATTCTCCATTTAGAAAAGGAGGCAAGACACAAAAATAGTATAATCCAAGGTGGACAGGAACAAGCACCCATGAGAGATTAGGTGTTCAGAGGTTGCAATGACAAGAGAGACCACACCCAGGAGGTATCTTAGATGAGCCTATTTCATCCCAGGAAGGGAGGGAAAGAGGGAGGGAGGAAGGGCCCAATGGCTTAAGCCAGGGCAGGCTGAGTGGGGAGCACAGAATGGAGCTGATCCCATCTGTATCTTGACAGTGCCCCGAGCCAGGAGGTTCTCATCTGGAGGAGAGGAAGATGATTTTGACCGCAGCATGCACAAGGTGAGCAGGCTGCATCACTGAAATAAGAAGCTTAGAGGGTATATTACTGAGGATTTTTTTTTCATTTGCAAGAATGGAAATAATATTCAAACTTACTTACAATAGAAAAAAGAAATGCCTAATTTTGCATAGCTGAAAAATAAAATGGTAGGATTAGCTTCAGATATGACCAGATCCAGCTGTTCAAAAAAAAAAAAATGTCATAGGGAAGCTGTCTCTCTCTTTGCCTGGGGGGCTCGCCTCTGTATTTGTTTCATGTTCAAACTGGTCCTCTTCTTATAGTGGCAAATGGGTGCCAACGGCTCTCCCAGCTGGCTGGTGGGAACATAAGATGGTCCAGCCACTGTGGAAAAGTTTGATGGTTCCCCAAAAAGCTAAATATAGAATTATCACAGGGTCCAGCAATTATACTTCTGGTAAATACCCATTAGAATTGAAAATAAGGACTAAAACAAATGTATGTACGTATGTGTTCATGCCAGTACTATTCAAAATAGCTGAAAGGTGGAAACAACCCCAAGGTCTAACTCACAAATGGATAAACAAAATGTGGCAGATCCATGCAATGGAATATTATTCAGCTGTTAGAAAGAATGAAGTATTGACACATGCAACAATGTGGGCGAACCTCGAAAATATTGCAAAAACATCTAGAAAGGTAACCTAGAGATTGAAATCTACAGGAAGATGTGCATAGGTTATATGAAAATACCACACCATTTTACATAAGACTTGAGCATCTGAGGATTTTGGTATGAAGTAGGGATAGACCTGGAATCAATCCCCTGTGGAAACTGAGGGATGGTTTTACTTCAGAATGGTTAATTTTAAGTTATATGATTTCTACCTCAATTAAAAAAAAAAGATGGCTATCTCCCTATCTTTGAACCAACTGCTGGGACAAGGGCAATGTGATCCTGTCATGGCCAAACCTGCTTTTTTATGCAACCTCCAGAGCCTCACCCAGGCCTCAGGACTATTTGTAGAAGAGAGATGAAGTCCAAAGGAAATGTGGGTACTGTAAGGAGGGAGGAATGCTGGGAAGGCAAAAATGACAGAGGTTCCCCCAAAAAGGTCCCAGTGAGTCAGCCCTTCCCAGGGTCATCTGCTCTCTTCTAACTTCATCCTGCTCCTCCCCACCCCAGCTCCAGAGTGGGATTGGCCGTCTGATTCTTAAGGAGGAGATGAAGGCCCGGTCGAGCTCCTACGCCGATCCCTGGACCCCTCCCCGGAGCTCCACCAGCAGCCGGGAGGCCCTGCACACAGCTGGCTACGAGATGTCCCTCAATGGCTGTAAGCACTCCTGGGGAGCCAATGCCTGCCAGCTGTTCACTTTGAGCCAGGCACCCTGTGAGGCACCGTCCAAGTGCCCCCTTCTTCCTCCCAGACCACTGAGCAGTAGGCGCCCCCACATGCTACAGGCAGGGGACCCAGGCACAGAAACCTTCAGCAACCTGTGCAAGATCAATGAGTTTGTAAGTGATGGAGCTTTCTCCATGAGGTCCCATTCCTGAAAGCTTTGTTGGAACACAACCAGCCCCAAACTCAATCCCCTGGGCTAACAAAGGGATAAGGAGAAGTTGCCTGTGAAAGTGAACCCCAGACCCCCACACACACTTTCCTCCATCTCAGGTGTCTCCTCTGAGAGCCTCCTCAGGTCTAGAACACAGACTTAATAAGGGACTGGATGGGACACCAATGAGTCCATCCTCTGCCCTGAGCAGTCATCCCACTTCTTTGGGCCATCTGAAGCTGTGACATTCTGTTGGGTTCAATGTAAAGAAAAATACCTTCAATGTAAAGAAAAAATTCCAACACTGTAGCCTGAGGGGCTCAAAGCCCGTTTGCTGAGGTGCTGGGCCTCCCATCACTTAGAGATATACAAACAGAGGCTTCACTCAAGCACTTGACTTTGAGATTCTGTCACTGCAAGCTCCTCCCTGTTCCTGGACAGGCACACGTGCTCTGTCTGCCTCCTCCTTTTCTTTTCTTTTTTTTTAAAGAAGAGAGAGAGAGAGAGAGAACTTTAGTATTTATTTTTTAGTTTTTGGCGGACACAACATCTTTGTTTGTATGTGGTGCTGAGGACCGAACCCAGGCCGCACGCATACCAGGCGGGCGGGCTACCGCATGAGCCACACCCCCAGCCCCCTCCTCCTTTTCTTACCCCTGTGGGACTCAGTCCTACCCGGAAATACCATCTCACATCAATACATGATGGACAATAATAGGTATTGTTTATTATACACAGACACATTATCATTCCTGATCCTCGAGAATCCCTGCAACCTCAAGATTGTTATCACTCATTTTATAGATGAGATAACTGAGGTGAAGTCACTTGCCAAGGTCAAAAAGCCAATAAGTGACTGAGCAAAGATCAGACCTAAGTTGGAGGGACCCTAAGGCCATGAGCTTTTCCCTCTTTGCCTTACTACACCTTGAGCTTGGTGAGATTAAAGATGGCAGATGGCGGTGGTGGTGATGGTAAAGCCAGTTGTAGGGCCTGTTAGTATGCCCCAGGCACTGTGCTGAGTTCCCTACTGTGTTATGTCATATATTCTTCACAGAAGCCCTATAGAGGAGACACTGTCACTCCCACTTTACAGTTGAGAAAACCAAAGCATTATTAAGTAACTTGTGTAAAATTAGGTGTCTATTAATGGCAGGATGAATAGATGAGCCCATTTTCACAATCTGACCACTATTTTCAATCCCCAGCTCTAAGCCCTATGCAGTGTACCCAGGCTGCTCAAAATTCACACTTAGTGAATGGAGTGTGTGCCTAGCATGTGCAAGGCCCTGGGTTCCTTCCCCAACTCCACACACACACACACACACACACACACACACACACAAAATCACTTCTGTTCAACCACATCTGTGCAACAAGCATCCCAGATCATCTGCACCACACCAGGTGCTGGACTAGGAGCTGGGGGGATGCGGGGGGAAGCAGGCACCACCATTGGAAACTGACCAGTAGTAATGGAGTTGCTAAGAAGGCCCTTCCTCTCCACCAGCCAGGTGGCTAAGTACAGAAGCCTTGTGTCCTTGTCCCCAGGAACTCTCTCTATCATGTCTGTCTGTCCCATGAACCCTGACCTCCAGCTTTTCTTTCTTGCAGCTCCTCGTTCACACTACCTGGCTGACAGTGGTATGTTCTACCTGCCCTGCTTTCAGTTCGTGGTATCCTGTGAGGGTACTGTCAAGATGGCTGCAGTCTCCCAGATCTCTGCTGGCTGTACAGTGTAGATGTCTCGGCACAGTCCAGATCTCAAAGAGCTGACCCCACCATAGTTGTGAGATAGCAAGGCTCCACTTGGGGTTCTAGAACCAAGGCTGCCTTGCCCAACTGCTTCCAAAGAGGAAGAAAGAGCACCTCTTCCACCCACCTGGGAGCCTTCCCTCTGCTTCTGAGCTCAACTCCAATTTCCAGGCCTTTGACCAGAGCTACCTGTGGACTGGACAGATGGGTTCATCATAGGATAGATGTGTATAGGTTAAGGCCAGAAATGGGTGTGAGTAGTTGTCTCTGGTGGGCCTAGAATTCTGCAGGGAACGGGGTCAAGTTGCAGGTCTGGAGGGCATCAGGAAAAATGGGGGCCTCTGGCTCCTACCCCTTCCCATTGGGTTATGGGTAATACTGGCCATTTATAACCAAATGTCTCCAAGGAGAGTAGTGACCCCTAGTTTAGAGCTCCTGGTAATTGTTCTGGATCCTTCTTTTCAGATCCTCTTATCTCCAAATCTGCCTCTCTGCCTGCCTACAGGAGAAATGGGCTGCACAGGGTAAGAGGGGCTCTGCTGGGGCGTGGGACCACCCCCAGATCCCACCACCAGGCCATTATTCTGGCAGCTGCTTTTGAGTGAGACTGGAGGGAAAATCTTGGGGCTAGAAGTGAACCCAGTGAAGGGACCCAATGGCAAAGACTTGCATACCTCAATTATGACCCCTGTGTGAAAGGAGGCTCCATGAGAGAGACCAGGGAAAACTTGTACTTATTGAGCAAGAATCCTGTGCTGGACACTGAACTTTACCAGCACCTATTCATGTGACCTTCACTTCCCAGAGAAGGGGGTTACTAGTATTGACTATATTTTGTAGATGCAGGAATGGAGGCAGAGGGCTGAGGTGACTGGCCCAAGCTCACACCCAGCAGTCATGGAGCCAGACCAACTAAATCTGCAACCCATACCTGACTGCTGTGCCCCAATATAGCATGTAGTCTTCTGAGTTACATGAGCTCTAGAGCCTGTGACATAAAAACTTCATAGAAGTAGTGAACTGGCTTAAAGTCTGCAAGGGAATAAAAACTTGTCTTGTTAGCAATAGGATGGATCTGGAGGCTGTGAAACTAAACAAGTTACAGGAGCCAAGGACAGGAACTTTGGGATAGATGTTGAATTATTGAGCACCCACTAAGTCTCGGGCACTGTTTCAGGTACTGGAGATCCTGTACTGAAAGCAGCTGCTGCTCCTATGGAACTCATATTCTAGCTGGTACCTAAACAATGAACAAGAAAATGTGTGACATGATATCAGGTTGTTGGAAGTACTAGGGTGGAGAACAGAGCCATGGAATAGAGAAGGGAAGTCAGAGAGGAGGTGAATTCAGACAAAGGCTTGAGTGTGGAGAGAGAACCTCATCACCTGGTGACCTGCAAGAGCCATCCAGATGCAGGGAAGTACAACGTCTAAGTCCTTGAGTAGGGATGGCAAAGTGGTCCTGAACCACATGACCAGGATGGAGGGAATAAGGCGGTGAAGCCAGGCAGGAACCTCATTAGGGCCTTGTACACCAAGTAAGGACTTCAGAGTTCAATGGATGTACTGAGATCCAAAGGATCCCTCTGCCCAATGTGTGGAATGGAGACTACAGATGGGCAGAAATGGAAACCCTAGATCCATTAGGAGACTATTGTGGCGTGGAGCACACAGAAATGACGAGAGCATTGCTACAGAGCAGTGGCTGGTGTTGAGAACCCCTGCCTGCTACGCACGCTGTCCTCCACGCACCGGAGGCTAGACACTCCTTCATTCAGCAGAGGTTTATTGAAAGCGTCTTCTATGCACCAGGTACAATTCAGGATGCTTGTAACACAGCAGAACAAAGACCTCTGCCCCTCGGAGCTTATATTCTTCTAGGGACAACAGAAAGTAGGAAGTAAATAGGAAACAAGTCCTATCATATAGAATGTTAGAAGACAGTGCTATTTTTGAAAAAGATGAAGGGCTAGGGATTTAGCTCAGTTGGTAGAGTGCTTGCCTCGCATGCACAAGGCACTGGGTTCAATCATGGGCACCACAAAAAATAAAAGAGACGAGCAGAATAAGATTGAGAGCTTATCAAGGGGGCAACTTGGAATTCTCAATAGGGTTGTAAGGAAAGACCTCATAGACCAATGAAAGAAAGCACAAGATGAAATTCACCAAATGAATGGATATATATTGAGTATATATTCAGTGCCTACTGTGTGCTAGGAATAGGCACCAGAAGCTGGCAGCAAGCTCAGTTCCCTTGACTGGAGATGGGAACTGCTGAGATGGCCCTGTGCCCCACCCGCTCCCTGGTACATGTCCTGAGATGGGCGAGTGCTTCCAGGAGGCTCAGGCCAGCCCTGGCTTTGTCTCTCCTGCAGACACCCAGCGCAGACCTCTTCCACTACGACAGCATGAACGCAGTCAACTGGGGCATGCGAGGTAAGCACGTTCACTGGGGTTGCAGGAGGAGGTCCCTCCTGGGACTTCCCAGGGACTCCGGATGCATTGCTCATAGCTGCTGCTTGACCTTTGGCAAACAACTCCTACAGATTCTGTCCCCATGCTGGGCTCTGTCCAAACCCCAAGTTTCCACTCCCTTCCACTTCCACTGCCTCCTTTGCCCTGCTCTTCCCTCATCCTCTCAATTCCCTGGCCTTGGGTGATCTCCAGGCCATCTGTCCCATCTGGGTTCCCAGAGCCATCACAGAATGCTGATCTCCCTGTCCTGCTGAGCTAAAGCCGCCTGCCAGCCCTGGTGGAGGGAAACACTCAGAGCCAAATACACATGGTTCCCAGGAAAAAAATTCCATGAGCTTCACGCCCTTTGTCAGGGAAGCTCCCACACCAACCTCCACCAGCAGCTCCGAGCAGGCACATCAAAACTTTGAAGGATTCCCCCAGAAAAGGGAAGATCCCTCCCACATGCTTCCCAGTCTCACAATCTTCTTATTTCTATTCTAAATATCTCAAAAGCTCTTTTCCCCTTAAAACCAACACAAAATGAGCTCAGCCCTATCTCCAGCCACCTTCCATGGTCATACTAGACCTGACTATATCCTCCATGATGAATTCAGCAAGGACAAGATATCTGGATGGTCACGAGCAAGGCATGTGTGGAGGCCAGACCTCCCAGGAGACTGAGGCAGAGGCCACTGTGGTAATGCAAAGCAAGAGTTGTGGATCCTACTCTGTTCATGTCTTTTCTCTCTGCAGAGTACAAGGTAAAGGACACATAGACCCTGGGGGTCTCCTGATGCTTGGAGCCAGTACCTTGGGGACCAGCAAGAGGATGACAGCACTGTCTCTATTCAGGGAAGGGAACATAGATGAATCACCCCTGGGTCATTTTGATACTAACATTCCCTGTCCCCCCTTGGTCCACCATTCCTGAATCCTGCCCTAGGTCTTCTGAAAACTGATTAGACTATCTCCCTGGTCCTCAAAGACTGGTGGATTACCAAACCACCAAATATTAGACACTTAAATTCAGGAGACTGTGCTCACACTAATGCCAAATGCCACTAATCTTGTCCCTGGCAATTTTAGGGGATGCTGTTGGGACTTACATTTTGGGAGAAGATACCTTAAGATTGACAGGCAACTCAAAGAAGGGCAGGCCCAGCCCTTCCTCCAGACTTAATCACTGACCCTTTCTGGCTAGAGGAAGGAGCCCAGATACAAAGTATTGCTGAAAGAGACAGGCCCACCCGCCTCTCCCAAGCTGGAAACACCTCCTACCTTTCTCCTTAGATCTATCCCTATGAACTGCTGCTGGTGACCACAAGAGGGAGAAACCGACTGCCCAAGGATGTGGACCGGACACGCTTGGAGGTAAGTCCAGTAAACTGAACAGGAGCCTTTGAGTTTGAAGGGATCCAAAGTTGGCTGGTCCAATCCAGCTCCGGACAGAGAACAGACAATACATGGCTTTAAGGCCCCATAGATTGGAGCAGTTTCCTCCATCCATGCTGCTGTGTGCAGCCTCCTCTTCAGCCCAAATGACACTTCAGATGCTCGGCAGCAGCATGTCCTCACCTGGTGCTGACATTTTGCAAACACCAGACACAGGAGAAGAGATAGATTTGGGCCCCACCCTCAAGGGGCCCGCAGTCTCAGAGCTGTACATAAAGCTAGTGCTTGTGATGGGGAAAGTCAGGGAGGCGGCACTGCATAAATAAGTCCAGAGTGAAAACACCCCGGGTCCACACTGCTCCTGCCATCACGAGGTGGGCAGGCGTAGCCAAGCCACAACCTCATTAAACTTTAGTTTTCTCCTTGCACAGTGAGGGGGGTAGAAATAAATGATCAATAAACAGTACACATAAAGCCCTTGGCACAGAGTCTGATGACCAAATGAATATTCAGTACCTGGTAGAGGTTAGTTTGCTGCTTATCAGAGAGGACTAGTTTGTGAGACACAGGCTGAAACAGGGAGGATTTGGATGGACTTGGAAGGTGGGTAGGATTTGGATGGAGAGAGGGAAGGAAGCACCACGAGGACTAGCATCAGTATAGATAAAGGCACAGTCACCGTGGCCTGGGCATGGTGTCGGGCATTCAAGCAGTGCAGTTTGCTTGATGTGGAGTGCCAGCCGCTGGTCTCCTATGGTCTGGGGAATGCTTCACCCTCTCCCTTGACATGCTTCTCCCTGCCTCTCCCTCTTCTTCCCTCTCCCTAGAGTGACCTTCCCAGGCTGTGAACCTTCTCGCTCCTCAGGGCTCCACACTTGTGATCTCAATACCCCATGCCCTCCTGTAGTCCTCCTGCAGGGTGGGTCACTCATCTGTTCCTCCAGCCTCCCTTAGCCTGTGGCCAGGGGTGGACTCAGTTCTTCTCATTCTCCTTTTATTACATCATCGACTTACCCATTTCCTCTGCCTGACCCTGATCTTCCAAGGGGCAAAGATTGTCTGTCTTCTACCACAGAACCTGGGGTTGGGAGAGATGTCAGGAAATATTTGTGGAATTGAGGCGGGCTTCTAAAAGAGGAGGCTCAAGCTCTTCCAGAAGAGTATATGAACCACCCTTGACCTGATGCTCAAGAATTCATTCAGGGTACAGGCAGAGGAGGGAAATGCAAGTGGGCCCTTCCAGCTCTAGCCGGCTGGGTCAGCAGCCTGAGAATAGGAGAGATTCTCCTCATGGGTCTCCTTCCTCTCCAGAAGTGAGCATCTGCCAGTGCTGAAGGGGACAGCTCCCAGGGCTACTCAGTGAAGCCGAAGGAAGGGACGCAACATCGCAGCTCCCCAGAAGCCTGGGCCCAGAGAAGTTCAGTCTTTCTGGAGCATCAAAATCAATCCATGGTCCCCACCCTAGACCAATGAAACTGCAATCTCAGGAAGGAACTCAGGCATTGGTATTTTTTAAAAGCTTCAAGTAATGTAGATTTGAAATCACTGGGCTAGAAACACTGCCTCAGCCCTTGCCCCAGTTCAGGGAGCAGCCTATAGAAGGAAATCCCTGACTCTGTCCTCAAGGGACTCATAGTACAAATACTCATACATCCAAAAAATATGAAAAATCTAGTATAGACACCAAATATTATTCTAGGTGCTTGCGATATATTGGTGAGCAAAACAGACTGCATTCTTGGAGCTTGCATTCTTACGTGAGAAGACAGATACTAAAGAACACAAACAATAAATGCTGTAGTGCATTAGAAAGAAGTCTGTAAAGGCTAAGGAAGAAGGTAAAAGGAGATCAGGGGAGGTCTCATGGACCATGTAACATTTGAACAAGGGCTCAAAGTAGGGGAGGGAATTAGCCAGGTTCTCATGAGACAGAAGAGCATTCTGAGCAGAGGGAACATTCAGTACCAAGGCTAATGCAGGAGCAAGGCTGAGTGTGGCTGGGGTCACATGAGCACAGAAGAGAAGATGAAGCAGAGATGAAATCAAAGGAAATGGGGACCAGATTGCACTATGTGATGGGTATTTGCGGTAGTGAGGGTGAGCCATGATGGAGCACTTCCCATATGGTGGCCCTGTGCTGAGCACATACCTATGTCCTCTCATTTACCCTGGTGGTACCAATGAGGTAGGTGTTATGATGCTCCCATTTTCCAGAGGAGGAATTGAGGCTCAGGTCCAAGGTCACACACCTATGTCCACCTGGCTTTAAAAGCCATGCTCTAAATGTTTTTGCCTTAAAGTCTGTGGTGAATGTCACATGCACAGGGCTGTTAGGGGCTCTGAGGACTCAAGGGAAGGGGAAGACTACAGTTGGACCTTAGTGATGGAAAGAGAAGCCTTTGTCTCCTTTCAGTGTGTCCTACTTATGGACACTTTACTTGGGGACAAGGCTACCATTCCTTTATATTGTGTCTCATAAAAAAAAATTTGAACACAGTAGAGAATATCAATTAGAGAATCAGTAGCAATCACCACCCTCCAATAGAAAAAGAATAAATGAGGCTGAATTACCATTTCCCTGAGTCTTTACTATGGAAGAAACAGAGAAGAAAACTTCCTCATATGCAAACTATTTTTCAGCATTCACTAGAGTAAAACAGGACAGACAAATCAATACCGTGAAAGAAAGAGGAGGGACACTAAAGGGACCTACCCACAAAAAGCCACATATGGACACCACTCACATCCTTATTCAAACAAGCCACTGTCAAGATCAGCTCCAGAAGCCCCTCCAGGGAAACATTCATTTCCACATTCCTCCGCTCAACACAGTTCTTGCACACTTCCCGGATGGAACCTAGTGCCAAGCAGAAGGCACTCAGAGGAAACGCAGAGACCACTGCCGTGCCCACCCACCCCCCACAGCCCACACCTCCTGTCCTCATGCTGTTTTCTCTCCCTCCTTTCCTCCTCCTTCAGCGCCACCTGTCCCAAGAAGAGTTCTACCAAGTCTTTGGCATGACCATCTCAGAGTTTGAGCGGCTAGCCCTCTGGAAGAGGAACGAACTCAAGAAGCAAGCCCGGCTCTTCTAGGCAGAGGCTCTATACATATAGATGCATTTATATAAAGATTATGTAAAATCTCTATCCTGAAGCGCGGTGTCATCCCCCTGTGTGATGGGACACGCTGCCTCTGTGAGACTTGCTTTTCTGTACTGTCAGGCAAGCCACATCATTAAGGTATTTTTATGCTCCTTACTTCTCTTTTCTATGTGCTGTGGGATCCGGGAAGGGATTTGAAGGGACCCCGTCCTTTTGCTGGGGATCCTTTTTATACTGAAACATCTGTCCCAAAGTGAGTCCCCCAAGGTCCAACTCTGTTCAAAAGGTGCCTGAAGGAGTCTCTCTGCTCTCTGCTTCTTGGCCCTCTCCCGAGTCTCCAGGGCTCATTTTGACCTTGCAGTTCTCACACACCCTTGGCCCCTTAGGGGCCCTTCTATGGGAGGATCCACAGTGATCTCCCCAAATCATCGAGCACCTTCAAGGTCTCGTGAAAAATTTTCTCCACACCTCCAATTTGGAGCTCTTTGCTCTCAGGGTGGTGCAGTTAGAAGTGTGAGCCCCAGATCCACTCGTTACACCTGTGGACAGAAGTGGACAGGGCCCTGGCCTCTCCTCAGCTCACCAACCCTCCTCCTCTGCCCTTAATCCTGATCACTCCCTTGTCCAAATCTAGGATTCAAAGGTAGAAAAAGAAAAAAGGTGCTCCCTTCCCTCCACCACCTCCAACTGGCCTCTTTGCCTGGCCTGGACTTGGAGGAACAGAGGAGAGGAGAGGGAGCTGGGAACAGGAAATGGAGCCAGGCACCTGCCAAATCCAAGCTGTGGGACCTCTGACCCTCCTCTCTCCCTCACTGCTCCCAGCACCTCCTGACGCTTCCCCCTTCCTAGGAGAGGCTGATTGTTGCAGCCTGTATTCTTCAGCCTTATTACAATCTATGTGCCTGATGACCTACCTACCACAGGGCTAACGTTCCCCCCACAGCTCCAACCCAACAACCAGAGAGACAGCTCTCACCACCCTCTACAGGGAGAATAGGCCACACCCCAGAGAAAGGCTCTTGGCCTGGGCCACTGGGCAACCATATTAGACCCCCACATCAATCCCAGGTCCCACTGCAAAGTTGGCCAGGTCTCATGGAGGAAACTTCCAGAGCATGACTTCTTACAAGATTCCAAAATGAGGTGTTGGCCAACACTGCTCACGGTCATCCAGATTGTCCCAGGGGCCTGCCTTTCCTGTCTCTGGAACAGGGGTGAAAGCTTACCCTTTTCTCATCCTCTTTCCAAACTTTCAACCCTGAATTGGCCATGTTTGGGGGATGGGCACTGTTCCTTCTTGGAGATATGTTGTTTCAGACCATCTTGAGATCATGGAGGAAGGATGAAGAAGTGGAGGTGACAACTGTGACTCTCAAGTGGCTGGTAATGCAATGAGGCAAATGTCAAACTAAAGTCCATCCAACAACCCTCACTGAGTACCTGCTGAATACTGAGCACTGAATGGGGGAGAGGGGTGCTGGGATGAATCAATGCGGGCCCCATCTCAGAGGCACGCCTAATAAGAGTGGGCAACATGAGACGTACACCCAAACATAAGGAATATAAGGCAGAAAGTGAGAGAAGGCTTGAGAAAGTGTGACATTACTGAAGAGCCAGATGCAGTTGGTGCAGACCAAGGAGAGCTTTCTGGAAGAGACTGCATCTGAGTGAAATCTGGAAGGATCTCTGTAAACTGCGAGTTAAAAGGGTAATAGGGTGGAGAGACCAGAAGGGAAGTCGAATGTACTCTGGTTTAAGATGTCAAATCTCCCTGCAACTTCTCTTCTTGGCCAACATCTTTCAATGTTCCTGACCCGTGAGAAATGTCCCCAGCCAGACACAATCATTGAAACTGCCTCATTATCACTGGTTAACAACTTGCGAGACTGAAGGGCTTTTGTTATTGTTGTTGAATATTTTTGTTTCCCATAAAAGCACATCATTGCAACCCAGACCCGTGTTCTCTGTGGTTTCCAGCGTGAGTGGAAATGACTGACATGGGAAAAGGCTAAACCATGCACATTTTTTTTTCAAAATAAATAAACCTAAAGAGCAGTCACTTGTTTGGCCTTGATTTCTCTTCTGTAAAATGGGAATATTTGATGAGATCAACGGTATCCAGATTATTTTCTGCAAAATGCAGGGTACTTCAAGTTAGCAGAGGTTGCTCCAACCACAAATAAGCTTCTGCTATCAAAAGCAATTAAGTATTAAGCACCAACAACATGTCCAGGTCTATGCTGAGGACCTTCTACATCATCTCACTAAAGCCTCTGTAACAACTCAAGAGGTGGCCATAATTAATTAACCATCTCACAGATGAAAAACAGCTTAGAAGAAGACACATGATTACCACCAGTAGAGCCAGAAGTCAATCCCAGCTGGTCTGGCTGGAAAGACCAGCTTCTCATTCTTATCTAGCAAGACCCCTTCCATTGCAAGTAAAATTCACCTTATTAAAAGTGGCTTAAATGATGAGAACAAGGTTAGTAAATTCATCATCTCAGTGACGCTGTCCAGAGCCCATGTTCCTTACACCTCTTTACTTGATTACCCACAGTATTTTGACTTTCGTCTCTGCCAATGTGTCCCCTCATGTTTACAAGAGGCTGCTGTGCCTCCAGGCATCATATCCTCATACAACCACATTAAGAGACAGGAAAGGAATTTCCCCTTGAATGTCTAGTTTAATCAGAAAAACTTTCCCAGAAGCCCTCAGTACACTTCTGTTCAAGTTCTGCTGACCAGAAATAGGGAGTATGTCCAACCATTACTGCAATAAAGGCTGGGAAATGAACATTTCATCCTTGATAGTGACAAGGGGAAAAGGAGGCAGACTGAAAGGAATGACCAACTAAAAATTCTGGGGAGCATGGAGTAGAGCCAGTGAAGAGGAACATCGGGTTAAAAGAGGTGAGTAGGCAGGTGAGGGTCAGAATATGAGGGAGATCTACAGGGACTTCTCTCATTCATTCAGGTTTGGTAGATGTGGTCTGGCTTGCACTGTGGTTATTAACATGCTGGATGTAGAAAGAACTGCTATAAGCCTTGCCACTCAAAGTGTAGTCTAGCCAGAAACATCAACATCACCCTGTAGCTTGCCAGAAATGCAGAATCTGGGGCCCCATCCTGACCTCCTCCATAAGCAGCTGTCTTTTAATAAGTTCCCCAAGACACACCAATAGTGAAATTTCAGAAGTGCTACCCCAAATTGTCTACCTTTTACAAACAGAAACAACCTTTTTGAAACAGACTTCCTGAAGTTTTCCAAGGGGGACTTTTTCCCCTGCACATAACCCCTTTGGACACTGGAGGGCAATCTTACATGAATAAGGCAGAACCCAACTTTGGAGGTCACCTGCATCACACAAGGTTAGAGTTTAAAGCCAATGCAATGAGCCAGCTGAGCGCTGGAGTTGGTGTGGATGAGGGGCAGCTCTGCTGCCCTGGGAGCCCCTCGCCTTCACCAGGTGCCATGCCCAGAGCTATGGGCACCAGCTGTGGAAGGTGTCAGTGACTGTAGCTGGCTCCTGAGCAGAGCCACACATGGAACAGAAGGGCTGCTATTCAGCATTGATAGCAAAACTCAAGAGGAGAAAAAGCACAGCTAAAATTAATAATTAACACACAGAATCATGCCAACTTCACTAATGTCCCACGTGGGATGAAGCCTTAAGTGTAGAGCTCTTCAGCACTAAAAATCTGACCACGCAGTGATGAATACCTTGCTTACATATGCAGCTCTGAGCCTCTGCCCAGCCATTCAGAAGCCCTGGAGTGGGACTCCAAATAGACAAAACCCACAGATATGAGATGGGGCCAGCCTCCTGCTACCCGCCAGAAGCACTCCAGCCTCTTTCCCTGGCCTGGTCAATGTGCTGGCACAGGGACACAGAGAAGGGACACCAAAGGCCAGTAGCCACCACCCTTGCTTTGTCTTCAGGGCTAATTGGGACCATGTGTGCAGATAAATCAGGTTAAAAAGTAATGTGATATCTATGCTAATGGCCTGAAGTGTGTCCTTGTCAGGAAGCACTGTCCCACTCAAACACCTTTCAAATTATTTAGTTACTCAATGATATCTAAGGAATATTTTTCCTTCAGTGGATCCATCTGTTTCTATTTTAATATCAATGAAACTATCTATTTGTAGGACTGGTTATACATTCAGATACATTTTCTAATTCTCCAAAGACACTGGCCTGTGTAACACTGAAGTCAGCTCACTTCTTCACCCACACCCAAGGAGCCACTGTTCCGGTTGATAGAAGTGAGTAGGGAGAAGGTGACTTTACGCCCTCAGCGTCCTCAGGACACCTGGTCTCTGGGGAGCTGGCAATGCTGCAGAGAGAGGAAAGCACAAGATTCTTTGACAATCAAAGGTGATCCATCACCAAGGTCAAGACTTTCACGTACCATTGCTGGTTCCTGGGGCACCGTGTACACAGGCAGTCCCTGGACCTTGCTTAGGTTTTCATTGAATGCAGTTCCTATATCCCCTGCTGCTCTGGGTTGTAAGGCCTTTGCCTCCTTGTGGATATTATAGCTCCACGGATATGGACACCCTGCCAACACCAGCCTCCCTGGCAAATTTTAGCCTTGACAGTTACAAGCAGAATTGTTCCTGCCCCTGCCTCCATCTTTGCATGTTGAAGTCGCAGCCCTCGGACCCTGAGAATGTGACTGACTGTATTTGGAGACAGAGCTTTTTTATTTTTATTTATTTATTTTTTTTTAGTTGTAGATGGACACAATACCTTTATTTAATTTGTTTTTATGTGGTGCTGAGGATTGAACCCAGTGCCTCACATGTGCTAGGCAAGTGCTCTACCACTGAGCCACAAACCCCAGCCCCGAGACAGGGATTTTAAAGAGGTGATCAAATTAAAATGAGGCATAGAGTGGGCTCTGATCTGATCTACCTGCGGCCAGAGACACAGAGATCAGGACACACTGGGGCCAAGGCATACAAGCATGGAGCGTGATGACCAGCTAGGAGTCAAGGAGAGAGCTTCCCAGGAAACCAGTGCTGCCAGCACATTGGTCTTAGACTTCCAGTTTCCACAACTGACAGAAAATTAACTTCTGTTGTTGGAGCCATGCAGTCTGTGGTGCTCCGTTCTAGCCACTCTAGCGAACTAACATACTGGCTTTTGCAAAACAGAAATTATGGCACTTACGCATGAGTGATGCACTCCTGCAGAGGCCAAGACTCTCACATACCATTGCTTCCACAGGGGAGGTATGCATTTGGGTGCTCAGCATCACCCCAATAGTCCCATCAGGAGGTGTGCCCAGGCTGTGAGTGCCCCCTCTAGGCCATTGCTGAGAGAGAGGCAGGCCTCTCTCACCTGAGTCTCCAGCTATCAGCCCAACTCAGTCAAGAGCTTCCTGGCCTTCCTTGCTACAGACTGGGAGACTAAACAGAGGAAGGAAGTGTTAGCGCATGGAAAGCAGTGACAACTCTGTTTGCATTCCTGGATCGAGGTTCCCTTAAATCTGCACCACCCTCGAGCTCCCCGGGAACCCACTAAGCAATAAATTGCTCTTTTGGTTTGAGTTGTAACTCACTTGGAGTTGGGACAAATACACTGGCTTTCCAGGTGAATTAACTGTGACAGTGGAGTCTCACATGTGTTCCTTTGCTGTCTGTGTGACAGAGCAACCACAATCTAATAGTGCAGGCATCAGCCCTCTGCCCCTGGGAGCATGGAGTGGAATGCGGGAAGCCAAGCAAACACATGGAAAGGGGTGAAAGCTTTCCCCAGTCGTTGAGAAGTGCTGGTAGGGCCAGGACCAACAGCCTTCTCATTTTCCAAAGTGCCTATTGCCATACAAAAGCATTATGCCCACCTCCCTGACACACAAGGTCTTGCTCACCTGGACTGGGACAAACCATCCACCTTACCCAAGCAATTTGTCCTTCTGATGAAATAACTGCACTAATTTTTTTAAATATGCATACAAGACATCACTCCCTAGAAGATTTGGGGGTACGGGAACTGCAGGTATGGTAGCCCACCCACCCAGGAGCACGGATTGTTCCTGAAGGGAAGGAGGAAGCTGGCAGAACTCCCAGCATGTCTAATGGTTTGATTTATAGAAAACTCCCTGCAGGGGGCAGCCTGAGTACATAGCCAAGACTTCCTTACTGTTTTCATAAGCATCTGACAAAGCTCTTCAGAGGAAACCCACTGATAAAATAACAACTGACCCTTCCTGCAACAGGTCAGGAACTGTACTAACCATGTCACATGTCTCATTTGACCTCTGGGTGCCACTTTCATCCTTTTTACAGATGAGAAAATTTTTTACAGATAAGGAAATTGAGCCCTTGGTGAATAATTCATCCAAGGTTTCTCTGCTGTTTGTGACAGAGTCTGAACTTGAACTCAGGGCCATGTTACCCAAACCCATGCCCTTGGCCACTACACAATGACCACTCCTAGGCAGAGGGCCAAATGGCATTTGGAAAAGGCTTCCCTGGGCCAGGCATAGCACCCCATCTCTTTGCATTCGGTCATATTTAAGCCTCGCTACCACCACCAGGTCAGGGAGGTTGTGGGTAGCCCCAACTTTTAGATGAGAAATTTGAGGTTCAGGGAGGTTGAAGGTCATGCTCTTGACCATGCATAGGCAGGGCTGAATAGCAAACTCAAGTTGTCCCAAAGTCTTACACTTCATCAAGCCGAGCAGAGTGGTAGTCGTGAGGGTGGAGATAACAGGGCTTGTGTGACATCATGCCTGGGACCCTGGGCACCCCTGCTCCTGGTGCTGCCTCTGAGGCGATGTGTGAGTTCAGGCCACATTTCTTCCCCTCTTGACTTCAGCTTCCCCATCTGAATGGGACCAGAAGAAGGGATAAGACTGGCTGGTATCTCAGAGGGGTTCTAGTTCCAGGTTATGAAATTCACTTTGGACCCCAAAACCTGGAGTCCACCTGCTCCGTGGGGGTAAAGTTATTGGCCCTTCAGAAGAGTGAGTCCCCACTGCAGTGTGAGGGGTAGGGTATCTATCTGGATCCCTCGGAGTAAAGGAATCCAGC